ATTGTTACATCTTCTATGCTTTATCATGAAAACATTATTTTTTAAGTAACATTATATCCTAAAGGAGTTGTTATCGTTTACAGCTATTATTAACCATTCATATGAACAGTAAAGAAATCTTTTATTTTTATGCTTGCATATATATTTCTCATTAAAAATGTCAATCTATGTTAATGTATGAAGATACTCATGTTTCTGTCACTTGTTTGGAATAAACATATTGTGATTTATTACAATATTGTCCAAATGGTTCTGTTAATCTAAAGTTTAATTGAAAATAAGTAGATTTAACAATGAATTATCGATGCAGAAAATTCAATATCGAGGTTTGAAAGGAATATTTGTGAATGAATTTGATCACATTTTCTTAAAATTCTATTCTGTGAAGAAATAATTTTGTCATAAATCCGAATAGTGAATTAAATAGATGAAATAATCGTTATGGCCAGTTACTACTCTTTTTTAAAAATTAAAATAAAATTTTTATCGCATTTTTAATATGACTATTTGAAGAAGAATATCAATGTATTTCTGTGTTTTTGCTGTTTCATGAAAGTTTTCTTTTTCAGAAAAAAACGAAAATAAGAAGTTGTAAAAGTTGCTTTCTTTTCTAAAAATAACATCTGTCCAACATAATTTGAAATTTACATTAATTCGTCCTTGATGTAATCTCAATTGTTCAAGCACACTAGAACGGAAATAGAATATAATCTGAAGAAGTAAAAAAGAAACAAATTTCGTCTACCTTTGTTGTAATGCACGTTATGCTTGTTCATCTATTTGATGATACATTCAAAATTAGCTTATTTACAACATAATTAAGATAGGTTTTAGAATTTATGATATGATGATAATAAGTTCTTTTATTGTTGCTATGGAAAAATCTGACTACAATAGAGATGATCTTCCAAATGTTTGAGAATTTTTGAAAATCGACAGATATCAACAAGGATAAAAACTACCTTTGTGTAACTATTTAAATATCTCTGAAAGAAAAACAATAGATTTTTATCTGAATATAGTATTTATAATGTCTTATAACTTACTCCAAGTCAATGCCTCTACATATGATTCCATTGAATTAGAAAGAAATATTTTCTTTTGAATAGATAGGGAGAAGCATTTGTCAATTACCAGAGCAAAAAGTAGTGAGACATTCTCCTCGAAAATTTTTTAATCGAAAATTAACGTTCTATCGCTGTATTAATAATATTATTAAAAGTAGAACAAGAAGCCTTAATACATCAAACAAATGAGAACGTTGTCAGGATACTTTAGTCGAATGGATATTGAATAATTCAATGAAAAAAAAATGATTTGACTAATCAATCGAATCTGCCAAACAAAATTCATGTCGAATGCTATTTAGACTATATCTGTCAACCCGTTAATTTCACAATGAAAACATTTAAAATAAAAAACAAACGACATCTTGTATAATTTTCATTTGAGTTTAGTTAAATGATCAACATAAAAGAGGTTCTGTTGTTGGTTTCACTTTCAATACTGCAGTAATTATTGATTCTAAGATAGACATAGTAAAACTGTAAGTATCTACATACATGTCAATGATCAAGCATTCAAATCTATATATAGTGACATTAGGTGCTGGATCATTAAGACTAATACGTAAAAGTAATTTCTTAGGGTGTTCAGCTGTAAAATCAACTTGAGTCGACGTATGTATTTTGACAGTTTTTTTTCGCAGAATACATATCTGATGAGAGACGATGAATTCCGAACATTTTCGTTGTCGGATCATTCATTGGGATTTCCGAACATTTGGCCTCTCCAGAAAAAAAAGGAAAAAATTGTTTTCTGTATGATGAATTTCAATTGCAAAATACAGGCACAATGTGTTCAGTATGTTTCTTGGCAATAACTGCGGAAAGATAAGTCTACTGGACTAGAACCATCAGCTCAGTAGGCTTTCTCATGAAACAGATACATACAGTTACAGTGAACAAAATGACTTAAGTCCTTCTTTTAATATGATAGAAGAATAACGTAAGATTTACCTAACTTATTTTATGATGGAGTTCTAATAGCGTAGAGGACTGTTAAGTTGCCCATGGATCAATACAACTTCATAAAACAAGTACATTTTCGAAATATTTCGTCAAAGACGAAAAAGCTTATTTGATAGAAAAACATCTTTAAAGCTCTTTCTTTCTGAAATCTTCAACTTAAGATAATTTCTAATCCAAACGCAATGATATCAAAGAAATAAGGCATTTTATGACCTTTCTGTAAGTGTCACATTTGTACAAGGCGATTTCTAATGGAGAAAAACTGATTTTTGTATGAAAAAGTCTTTAAAGGCCCTCTTTCGATACATGTAAATTCTATTTTACTTCTTGTTGAATCTAGACTACAGAAATATCGATTTGAGCAATTAGACGAGCTAAGATTTCACCTACGAGTGAATGATTTATTTCATCACACTGTTAATTGAATATAAATGGACTATTAATTGATCTTTTTTAACATCTTCTCGCAGAACATTAACTGAATTGAATATGAATAAGTCTTTGATGGCTTGTGCAACATGAAATCCTCGATAGTTTGTATTCGTCAAGGAAGTTCGATCGAAACAGTCAGTTATGCTTTATTGTCTATCAAATTCTTCAGCGTCTTGATAACTACAGACAATTGTAATTCATATTGGATAAATTTGAATAGCTTTGTCAATCGTTCTTCACTCGTTATCAGATTCGGTTTAAAATTTCTTCAGAAGAACGAGTAACTCTAATATCACACACTAAGGAATGAAACAAAGAGAGACTTTTCAATCTACTGCTGACTTTTGCTGATAAAGTTCGCACTCGAATTTGAATAAAAACGAGACGGAAGTCAAATATGTTTTATTAGAGTGCTAAACGAAAACAGTGTACAATCGGACAACTCATGAGTCTTTAGGGACATAGCATTTTGGAAGAAGTATAGTATTTCCAGTTTGGTGGACGTTAAGTTCGACTCCCAACAACTTTCCTCAGGAAAATTTGCTGTGATAATTTTGGAAAAAAGATATTAAAATAGTACGTTGTAAGCTAAATTTTTGAAAGAGGAAAGACGCAAAGAAAGGAAAATTTTACAATGGAAAATCATGATTCCAAGTTTCGCCTTATCTTGAGCTACATCCATAGCTTCACAGAAAAGCTGATATTTACTGTGAAAAAGTACTTCTTCGATCCATCTTGTAACACCAAAGAGTCATCTTGCTTTTACTAGAGAGTATTACAAAATATAATATACGTACCGCTACTTGTAGCGGCCCAGATAATTTTCAGTACCTTATCTATCCGTCTACTACGTGATGTCTTTCATTCGTGATATAGGTGATAGTTATAGACATTGATCGAAGTATGGATCACAGATTGGAATGGATAAGGTAAGAATGGCAGCTAAAGCAATACCATAGTTTTAAATTTCTAAGAATTAGTTCTTTACATTGTACGTATTTATGAATTCTCTATACAGCCTCAATACATAGACTAATTCACTTTTCAACTTTCTAACGGTGTTACTATCTGTCGTTCAGCTTGTCAGATGTGGATACGCTTTTCTACTTGAGCTAATAAAATTTGTCTTGCTGGTCTATTCTCACATGCAAGAAAGAAAGATGAGTACTACTATTCTTATTTTCTTCATGACGCATGATGTTGATTGAATTAGGAATGTGAATTGATGCTACTAAATAGAATCGCAAGTCAACATTTTTTTCACACACGTCGCTACGCACAGCTGGTATTTTTTCATAATTCGATACTGTACCAAAACGTCTTTGTCATTATTTGCTTTCAGCACTATAATCATTCTGATGTTAAGATATTTTATGAATTGCGTTTGATATGTTAACGAAGTGATTGAAAAAAACCAAGAGTACTCTGTCATAGAAAAGGTTTTCGTCATATATAAGGAGAGAAAAGAAGAACTGATGCATAGATTAGATATAAAGGTCAACAAATCAGGTGTAAGATCTTGTAAGGTCAGATGGAACCATACAAAAATCGTAGTATCAGAAATCTTACACTAAATCATACCATAAGATTATGGTTGGGTGTAGATGGAAACACAACAGGAAGGTTATGCTAAAATTTTACTATTGGAAAAGAATACCGCACAAAGATTCATCATCTGCATACATTGTTACGACCTTCTTTATATTAAATGATTAAGAGTAACAGTATAAAACTTGATGTCTGACAACGATAGTATCAGATAATGCATGTGTGATGAACATTCTTAATTGGCAAGATCCTTCTTGTTAATTGAATTCCGTGGAGTTACTTTGAATCACATGAATAGGATTTGTCAGATCTGTTATGATACATGTTGTTGTGTTGGGAAACGATCTAATTCTACTATAAATTTTTTTCTATAACTTCCGTTTCTCAGACTGAAATTCGATATTTTTCCAGTGATAGAAAAAGCCAAAATATGATGTCTTTAGCCTATTCTATTTATTAAATACGACGAGTTCTAATAAAATAGACTTGACAGGTAATAGTGAAATTCGACATCCACATATAAATATAAGATATCATACGCTGATGACTTTAATGATATTACATTCGTTAGGATTAGTGCTTTTCAAGCATCTGTTAGTATTTGCAAAGGAAGATCAAAAAATAATTATACTTTGAAACTACACTGTCGAATGTATAGAAAAATGCAATCTTTATTTTTCATGTCATTATTGTCTTAAAATGCATAGCTAATTTCAATGATTTCTACTTCAACGTGGCTAAGTAACCAATATTAAATCAACTTGTGAAAAATGAATGCATTTCAAGGAGACAAATAATTTTCTTGTGAAACGATGAAATTCTACTTAATTTTTTGGTCAGAAAGATGACGTATTTATTTTATTGACTCGTATGAAATTGAGAGAAAACAAAATCGCAAAATTTTCTTTGGTAAAAATAAAAAAACATCAGGTAAAGTTTTATAGTGATTTGTTTGCTTTGTTCCTTTTCTAGTCGAATTTAGATTGAAGTCTAAGTTGCAGTCATAGACACGGCAAGATCAAGCGTGAATTGATCAGTCCATTGAAGTTGTTGAATGCGTGGTGGTATTTGAGTGTCGTTGAATAATAGTGGTTGCCAGTATTGTTTATCATCAGACATGTGTATGCCAGTACCCCAACGATCGCTAACAAAAAGCAACGCCGTAGTGGAATTGCTTTGCTGTGCTCGTACAATGAAACTTTCTTGTCCGCCAGAAATCGATCGTCGTCGTCGCGTGCCATTAACAATATCCTCTTTGACTGGATCGATATCGTACTTTGTATCTCTCCATGGACCAAGAGGATGAGAGCTAGCAAACACGCGCGAGTTGCTACCTGATCGACAGAAACAACAGCATTCACCAAATAATAAATAGTAGTAATCATAACGTTTGAATAAGATTGGTGCCTCATTATTGACTGGTGTCAGCGGACCAGTGGTAACTGCTTTGCCAAGTGAATCAGTGTAGTCAAGTGTGAGCTGTTCAATTTGAATACGATGCAAATTGTCGAAAGCATCGTAGGCAATATAAGCCTTGGGTATTTCATTTCCGTTGTTGTCGTCAACAAAAAGAGAGAAATCGCCTGGGTTGTCATAGGCGAGTGTCTGCACTTTTGTCTTAATGACAGTAAACGGACCATAGGGTGTTGATGACGTAGCTACGACATACGAAGCATCGAGAAAGTTGGGTGCATCGAATGGACCACTACGCAATACACGATTAACCCACAGCACGTAAAGTTGTGTAAATTGATTATAAATAACTTTTGGTCGGTAGTAGATACCTAACGGGCGGCCACCGTTCCATGGTAGAATGTCACGTACAAACGTCCATCGGCTAAGATCAGGCGATGTATATAGGCTGATCGTATGATTGGTACGGAAGCCACAATCACCTAGCAAGAATTCACCTGCACAACCAAAATTCATTTTAGAGTGACATTCACCATAACCGACGCCATAATAGAAATAAAGTCCACCTCTGGTGAATTGCACTATATTACCATCATGGATGTCCATGGAATGACCATCCACATCGACGCGCGTCAACACATTACTAATCGTCACTGGTACAGCCAAAATGTAGTTAACGTTAAACAAGTGTATAAATAAGCTTGCAAGAAATATAATCAAATAACTCATTTTCTGTTAAATATTCTTATGAGAGGTAAAAGAGGCTCCATGAGCCAGCCATCACATCACATGGTGTAAAATTTTGTCAAAAAAACATCAGTGTCGTGAGATAAGAAATAAATACAAGATAAGCAGAAGCAGGAGAAGATGTTGGTGAGATATAACATCGTAAACGCTTTTCATTTAAAGGATTTGTTAGCATGAAACTGCAATATGGTCCCGTTCCGGATGAAACCGTGATCGAGACTTATATTCTTCAGTTAGCCCTCATTCAATTTTTTTTCAAGATTAGACTAGAAATTTTCATATTCGATAATATTTTCTTGTTAGCGATCTAAAATTCAACTATTTTAGTTTATAATCCCGACAAGAGTATTTCATTGATCGTAGTTCGCGATGCCATACTCGGAATTATTTAATAATTTCTATAAATTCTTGAGTACAGCAAACACAGTGCACATAAATTTGATTTGATAGCAGTTTAATCATTCGATTATTTGATGCATCAACAGACAACTAATAGATATATATCGTTGTTTAAGTCTAATCAATGGTAATAACGCTTCAAAATTAATATTCAATCAGATATTTCCACGACAAAATCATGACGGCATCAACTTCATACAACGAACAACAATGATTAAATATGATTTGAAAAAATGTTCACGTATCATATTTATTAGACTAAAATATGCAAAAAGTGTTAAGTGACATGGTTACTTACAAAGTCACATTAATGACTTTGCTCTACATCATATTTTATGTTTAGAATGTCATTGTATTTTGACATGGAAGCCAAATGATAGTATTAATGTAATGGATAAACAGGATAAAGCATATAAACAAGAGTTGTCATCATCATCAATGCAACAATCAATTGAATCATCTTGTTCGCCACATGATAAGATTAAAACAAGACTTATTAATTCAACGAAGATATAACTACCTAATAGATTAGCTGAACGATGTGCAGTGGATAGTTTATCATTCAGTTTCATTATTGATGATGAGTTTACAGAATTAGTTGAAATTTTAGTAAAAACTAGTCTTTCAATAAGTTCAACTATTTTAGTTGCGAATATTTTACCTGATCCAACTACGGTAAATCGAAACAATTTCTTCCATTTAATGCTGCAGATGATGGATGCCACTATTCATTTTGTAGCTTTAGATGAGTCGAGAGATTGGCAAGATTCATAATTTTCGTAAAGAACAATTAGTCTTATATTTGGTAACTATCAATGTCTAAGAAATACCTGTAGATTTCTGGACGGAACAAAGAACAAAAATGTATTATAGTGGCATAACACTACATACTTATTTAAAAGAATAATGGTCGTTAAATATTTATGTTGGCATACAAACCATATGATTTACCATTTCAATCAGTTGATAATATTGATTTATTTAGAGATTTGATACTTGAATCATATGGATTAATATTAGACAACGTGAAATATATTGTTAATGATAATGAAAATATAATAAGTGCATCATTTAGAAATCGCATTCTTTGCATCGATTGTACAGGTCATTGTATCAGGAAACTCAGCAAACAGGCATTATCTATACCAAATATCGATTGTGGTAGTATTAAACGATTGCTTAATTATATACATGATGTTGTTTTTGTTTATTTATGATCATCTCATATTCACTCCATGTTACTGAAAAATGTTCAATCTTTCACAACAACCAGATGAAACAGTCGTTATGACACATGGCGTCGAGTTGTATTGATATTTATTAAGAATTAATCAAGTTCATTACAGATAAAGCTCGAAAAATAGTTTTAGCTGTAATTGATTTTGATAAATTATTAGCAGTTGCTAATAACTTAAAGTATTTTATTATTGTCATAGAACTATTAAGCGTAGAGAAAACTCCAACAATTCATTTAATTTTACCATTTTAAGAACATCTTATACAATAATCTAAATCAGATGGAAATGATCTATATTTAATAAAAAAAAACAATTTTACAATTTTGTGAAAATCAAATTCCAGTATTGTAGGAACTTGATGAGACGCATTATGTTGTTGTACAGCATCCGAAACTAAGACATTTACAGATTCTTCAAAAAAAAGCTTATGAATTCATTAAAAAAAAGAAATTAATAAACGACATGGTAAGCAATATTTACTTTGTAATGAAAAAATAAAAATAACTTTGTCAATTTCTCTTTATAAAAATATACAATTATTTCTGTTTTCTATATTTCACCTCGTTAAATGAATGCATCAGTTAATTTAGAAGTTCCATCAATACAGCCAACATCAATGTCAGCACCTGATGCAGATAATTTTTCTATCTGAATGTTTTGATCAAAGCACTAGTACAGCTGTGACTGTAGTTAATATTAATGATAAACTATAATGATATTTGCAATCTACTGATATGTTTTAGCGAATGACGATGAAGATTTACTAATATTTTGGAAAAGGCAAAAAGTTCTACATCCAATTCTTTATCCAGCAGCCTGTTATATTCAAGTTATTCCAGCGACGAAAAAAGCGTCTGAGCGTTTGTTCTCAACATAGAGGAAATATAGTCACAGAAACACAAACTCGCTTATCACCACAAAAAGTAGAGAAATTAATGTTCACCAAAAAAGAAACTTCCTAATTTTGAAAAAAGTGTTTGACAAAAAAGAACATTCAAACAATCATAATTTTTATTTAGATACAAATGTTCAAAAAGCTTAAAAACAATCGTATGACAGTATATTAAATGCTGATGATAATTATGTTGTTAATCTTATTTATTGTGATAATGATGATGATGAATGATAGAAGGATAAATGTAACAGTGAATAAACTAGGTACCGATAGTATTTTGTTTTATGTATATTTTTTTGTTGCTGTTTTGCTATTTTTAGTATGAACTGTTTAGTGTTGTTCCTGTTCTATTTGTCCGTATTTGAAAAAAGGCTTTCGATACTTGTTGAAGATAGAAAAAAGAATTAGACTCAACCTTTTGAGAACGGAATTTTTTTAATAAGAAAACGGATCTTCAACCATTTTATTTTATCAGACGTAAAACATTCGATGCTAAATCTAACTTTTACTTCTTTTGTGCTACAGTAAGCACATCTTATTTATGTTTCTTTAACAGACAAATGCAATTCAACGTCAAAATGAAGAACAGATTGTAATGATACTAGTTTAGACTTCTTCTCAGAATGAGATTTTCCACGATTTATCCGTCCAGTGCCAGGACAGAGATACTTCGCCACTGAAACCATGTAATTTAAGTATGTTAATTTATCTTAAGGTAAAAAATTGCAGCCAATAAATAAGCTAGAAAAAATTAGATGCATTGAGAAAATGAATGAAAATTCATAGCCAAAATTCTTTTAGACTTGTTATCAGCGGCGTAATATCAGGATACATTTTGATTAAGTCGATGAACTTCACGTACAAATTGACTGTAGTCTTTCATTGATTTTGGATAGTTAATTGTAACAAGTTGACCTTCTTCAATGGTCGAAAAATCAAACAATTTCGCTGTTCTTACAATTATTTGCAGTCAGAAGAAAAACATGTTTTGGTATCCATCCATTAAAAGAAAATTCTATTCGATACAACTATTGACTGGTAGTCTTCTCGTTCCAGTTTTTCTTTCGCAGTAAATTTCAACGGAGTGCCCTCACGATCTGGCACGATTGCTTCACTTGTCTTCAAGTTCAGTAACTTCAGCTTGTCTCATAATTCGAGCGGAATACAGAAATTACCAAAATATGAATATGTTATTTTCGAAATTATGACCAAAGATGAGATTGAATACAACATGTCTGACTGAAAGTGTTTCTTGTCCGCTAGTTTCTTCTCTTCCTAGATGAATTTTATAGTTGAATTAGAAACTAATAATGGATCGCTTGAACATCAAAGTTTAGAGCCTCTCTTTATTGCTTTCAGAGGCATGTAGTGCTTAAGGCTTGACCTATCCTTGAATTTTACTAGACTTTGATCGATTAAATCATGGCGATCAAAGTTATAATTTTTCTGAAAACTTCTCAGTATAATTTCAATGAAATTGTTAACTTTGCATCGAATCCATCATTTATCTAGAGACTAATGAGGACGTTCATATAGACTTTCTTTCAAATTCGACAATGGATGCGTCCAGTCTAGGATCCGAGATTCGACTACTGAAACTATTCTAAAAAAGAGTAATACAAGAAAAGAACACGTGTTGGCGTAATGAAATATTTTCGCTTTCCTCGAAGCTCTGTTTCTAAACAATCTTTTATCAATGGAGTAGGAATATGAAAGTCTTGTGCTCGCTTAAGTCTTATCAGAAAGACAGACATGCAATTTATTTAAAATAAAGTCGAGACAGATAACTGCAGGTGAGTCTCTTCTTTTCATACATCATGCATCTGCTGGTTACGCTCTTACTGGTGCTAGTCGGAGTCGTTGATGGCCGATTATCACTGTACTATCGACATCAACAATATTCTTCATTACAATCCAGTCTATGTCGGATATCACCGTTGACGGGTGTGCGCATCGCTTTACCAAGTAAGTAAGCTTGTGTTTTGTTTTGTCGTTTCCACGAAAACAACTAAAGAATCTTGACTTATCTTTGGTATTCTTATACGTGATAGCGCCCGAACAACTAGACTGGCAAGCACAGGAGATCGGTGTTTTGATTCATTTTAACATGGCAACCTATGTTGAGAATCATGACGGATGCACAGGCGATGTTGTTCCACCCATTTCTCTATTTAATCCCTATCAATTGAATACGAATAATTGGGCTCAAACAATCATCGATCTCGGGGCAAAGTATGCTGTACTGGTCACTAAAGTAAAATTTTATACTTGAATATGACACATGTATTGTTTTGTTCTATTCTAGCATGCTTGTGGTTTTCTAATGGCACCAACAAACGTCACATTTCCATTGAGTCCATCTGGTCGCATTGTTCCATACAATTATACTGTTGATTATTCACCTGTTAAAGGTGTGAATATTCTCGATGACTTTGTCAAGAGTTGTAACAAGCGGCAAATACGACCTGGTTTTTACTATACCGTCGTTAACAATAATTATCTAAATGTGAAACAGGGTTTGGTTCGTTGATTTTTCTTTGCATCAAGTTCTCGATCCTATGAAAATCTTATCTGTATAAACAGGTTCAAAATGACACATTGAAAGTGGGCCAATTGAATATTACTCAACAAACCTATGATAATATTGTAGTACAACAATTGCGAGAGTTGTGGACGAACTACGGTAAACTTGAGGAGATTTGGTTTGATGGAGGGTAAATCAGATGACAAGTATAAAATTTGTTGAATTCAAGTTTTCAATTATTTTAGTTATACTGCAGAATTGCATGATTTAGTCGCTGCGATGGTGAGCGAACTTCAACCTGATTCAATCATCTTCGGTGGATATGGGGTGACACGAAACCCAATTCGTTGGATTGGTAATGAACATGGTCATGCACCCGATTCAACTTGGTCTACCGGCCTGGAAAATGGTGGTGATCCTAACAGTCCTATTTTTATTCCAGCAGAATGCGATACAACACTTCAACAATTTGATCGATGGTTTTGGGTAAGAATCGAATTTGACTAAAAGCATCAGTAGATCATTCCATTAACTTTTGTGTCAGGGTCCACACGTGTTACTTCGTAGTCTTAAAGAATTGATAGATGTTTATCATCGTTCAGTCGGTCATAATTGCATGTTAATGCTAGATCTAACACCTGACCAAACTGGTCTCATTCCACCTGCCTATGCACTTCGTTACAAAGAATTGGGCGATTTTATTCGTTCATGTTATGGTACTTCTATTGTGCCTATCGTTCGAAATTCATCAACCGATGGACGAATACATATTCAAGTGTTTGATTCGCCAGTAACTATTGATCGATCAGCCATTCAAGAAGATCAAACTCGTGGCCAAGTGATCCGCGCATACACAATTGATGTACAATTAGCAGACCCATTTGATCAGAATCAATGGACATACATGGCCGCAGGTACCAGTGTCGGTAATAAGAAAATTGATTTGTGGAAAGCCGGATCACAATTGATTACCGCTGTTCGATTGAATATTACAGAAGCAGTTGACACACCGGTGCTTAGAGCATTCACCGTACATTTGTGTCCTTGAAATCACTTTGTTCGATCATCGTCGAATAGAACAAAGGTGTTCAGATTGCGGCATGGCTTTTTTTCTCCTCCATATTTTACATAATAAAATGCTTCTTCTCCAAGTCACAGAATCAAATAAACGATGAGGAAAATAGTTGAGAGCTATGCATCTTCGTTTCTCCACACGTTTCATTTGATCACAAGCTATGTTGACTCATTTTGATTTCCATTACATCACATTGGCACGTAACTCTTATCATTCAATTTTATCTTTCGAAGAGATTCTAATCTAGTTCTTCCTGACCATTGAACTGCACTTGAAATACCACATCATTAATTTTTAACTCACATTGTCTGGAATTCATGTAAGTTGAAATGAGTTGAATAGGAAATTAATTCTTTTCGTCTTTCGTCATCTGTATCAACTTATCTCGGCTTGTGTCAGTTATTATTGAGCCATTCGATCTCAATGCTAACTTTTTATTTTGTTGAAGCATAAAATAACTGTGTAAAATCAGATTGTAAAAATCGATATTACATATTCTCGTCATCATCGCATCTGAAATTCCCTAATGATAACTGTTATCGAAGCTCCTCTACTCTTACACGGTCACAATTGTGAAAATGCTATCTTTAACTAGAAAATATACCAGTAAGATCATATATGCCGAAATATTTAGAAATTAAACTACTGTTTGTGTGTCGTACCATGACATCAACGGCATGGCTTCCTTCGTTTTCATGTCAAATATTCTTTATGAACTTATCGAATTCTGTCAAAACAAATATATATATATATATAAAGGGTGTTCCAGAAGTTCTGAAACGATTTTAAGAATTCACCGTTCTCGCATTCTACAAAAGCAAATTCGCTGAAACTTTGGTAAATTGTTGTACATATGTGGTACTACATAA